CTAGCTCTAAGTAGTCCATTTCGGTAGAGCAACTTCATGTCAAACGGCGCAGGTGTGCTGGACTGTGGTCCTGGTCCTGGTTTTCAAAAGCCTGAAGCCAATCTTCTTCCCGTCTCCGATGCCAATGACTTGCACGACCACGTGCTACGATCTACTAAGCTTCAACTGACTGAAGCAGCAAAGTTAGGAAGCCAGCCTACTGTCCCTGTGTCCTGATACAGAAGAAAAATAATCTGATTACACGGTGTCTGTCTTGTGCTCTAGCACCTACATGTGGTCCGAGCATCACACACACCTAACCTGAACTCTGCTCAACAGATCTGCGGCTGCGACGCGAAAGGCTTCCGTCGGCTTGAAGCTGTCTCGCAAGGCCAGGGACGAAAACATCGTATTGTACACTCAGCAGACATAGCGAACGCTTCGGGGCTGTCCCAACCCCTTAATGCCCGAAGTGGGAATCACACACCCTACTCCGCATTTCCACGTCAAACCGTCCTGTTGCTGTCCTTACTTGATAACCAAGTCTTGAAAACACAAAACCATGCCCCGCCGTTCACTCGCAACCTGTCCTTAGCTCGACTTGACAACTAGCAAACATATCCCGGCTTCGCCCAAGCAGGAACATTTTCAGTCTAGAAGCTCATGCAGTGAGAGTTGAGGGGTTAGAACCTATGGTTGAGATTCACAGACAGGGATTGAACGGACACGGGTTGCCAGACTCGTTGCACTTAGTGTAAGAGTTTGGGGCTTAGGTAGCGTTCGACAGGTATCAACCGCGGTCCTTTGGCTCCAAGGTTTGATGTTCGTCTGATCTGGTGTTGAATGGGGACTTGCATTATCAGAGCCTAGTTCATTCCGCATCCAGCCACTGACTCAGCAAACAGCAACAAACGCTACGAGGCAGTAAGCAACCTCCGAATGTTACTGGGCTCTAAGCTGCGCGTTGTCACAGATCCATGTCGGATCCAGAAGAACCACCGGTGCCGAAGAAGGCGCAGTCTGTGGGCGCGCGAGAGCCCATGGAGCCGGACTCCGGGATGCATTGGCTTTGCGTCGTAGACTCTGAGCCTTCATCGTACATCGTGACAACGGTCAAGTTAATGCAAGCATCAAAACACAGGATTTTTTCCTCATCTTTATAAACTCTAAAGCTTACACCGCATCTGAGGCCACTCCCTTCTACAGCAGGCTGTTCCCGGCGGGCCATCTGCCTAAAGCCGGGTTTCCGTGGGTACCGAAGCCAAAGAAGGCAGAGTGTGTGCCTCCGAGAGTTCTTCCACCTGGTTTCATGCAGCCGGGACGGCAACCTGCGAGAGCCAAGCCCAAGGTCGGTGCAAGTTTGTTTCAGAATTCAAATTAAACCTTAAAGCTTAGGGATCAAAGGTTTGTGGTCTCTGGTCGTGGTTACATAGGGTTTACTTCCTCCTGTGCAGGGAGCTCGGGACACCTGGCTTCGTATCGTGAAGCCCAAGGCTCCTGAGCCTCTGGTGGCTGTGACTGGATTCAGTGTAATGTTCTTTGGACCTTTGTTCATTTTCTATTAAGATACAGAAAACCTAAGCATCCATTAAGCTCCAAGCAAAGGCAAAGGCGGTCATGCTGCAGCCGAGCCCGAAATTCTCTCCTGGCTTCCGGAGCCTTGGGGTTGAGGCTGAGGAAGTTGTTCCAACCGAAGTCCCGTCGACGACAATGCCGGCGGCAGAGTCTAAACTAATCGTTGCAAGAGTTTTCCACAAGATTTCTGAAGCAAGAGGACAAGAGATATTCCCTAACAAAAGCCCGAGTGTCAGCCGAGGAAGGACAAGTCGGAAGGGATGACCGCCAGGAGTCGGAAACATCCGACGTGTCCAGGTTTTACTCTTATCGTGAGACGGCTTCCAATTGAAACATTTCATCCGATGGAACACCATAGCATCCAAGGCTGAGGCGGTTGGCGGCTGCAAGGGCAATGACGCATCCGCCGTGTCTAGGTTGTGTTCTTGGAATAGCAGATGTTTGGTACAATTGGGTACCTTAGACACTAGTCTAAGCTCTAAGTCCTGAACCGGCCAACCGCGACGATAGTATGCGAGGCCGTCCGAGCTGTGCCATATGATGGTGGCGAAGACAATGACGATGCGTCATCCGCCTCTGGGATTATTCCATGGCATAGTTTCTGACACAGTTGGTTTTGGCCTAAAGACTTAAATGTCTTCAGTTTGAAGACTAGCAAGGAGCTCCATTGCATGGTTTCCAAATGCTTATGCAGAATTTTGCGTAGCAAACGTGTCTTTGAAGTATTTTTTTATGAATTCGATTCAGGCTTCACCTCCGCTGTTGGAGCCGGCATCTGGGTCATCTGGAATGGCGCGGCTGCTGGATCTGACTGGCATGGAGACTCCATTTGGTTAGAAAGTTTGTACATGTCACGTAAGCTTTTCCGCGTCCCTTCTGTTAAATATATAGAATTTGAAGTTGTGCTTGATTGATATCTGACTCAGGCCTCAGCAGCCTCCACGCCGAAGCCAGCATCCGGCTTGCAGTCGCAGCCACTGTCAGACGTCTCATGGCTTCTTGTTTATTATGTGATGAGGCTGAGTTCTTTATAGCAAAAAACGCGTGGTCCTTTTTGACTGTTGGGCGGACAGTGAGACTGAGGTGGCTGAGCGAGTTCGGCAGTGGAAAAACGTCGCGAAGATGGCCGAAGACGTCCTGAGCCGCGCAAGGCAAGCACAGCGGGCAGCGGCAGGCATAAACCCAGAACTCTAAGCCATGCACCTGCAATCCGGAACCCGCATGAGTCTGATACACTAAAGCCCCGAACCACACATCCTAAGCTCCAATCCCCAAGCCTCATAGCCGCAACCCTGTAGACAAGCCTGCCGCGGCTGCAAGCCGGATAATTCATGTGCCTTTTTGCGCAGGATCCCGCACCCTGAGCCTGAAACTAATCCTAACACTTCAGCCCGTATCCCACAAAAGTTGCCGTTCCTCCTAGCCCCTGAACCCATCGCACTTGGGCCTGTTCCGAGCGTGAGAGCAAGAGCAGACGGAAGTGTGGCGGTGCATAAAAGAAGTTTCACTGTCACGGTCAGGACTCGCACTAAACCCTGGACACGCAACTCCGAAACTTCTAAACACGCAATATATCCTACCCCCACTATCAGAGTCCGTCAGCCCTCAGCTTGCTGGTTTGTGAGGAGTCCTCGTTACTGCCGCGATGGGGGCTGTACTAAATAAAGTTATAATCTATTGCACTTCCAGATCTCGGGTTAAGACTTCCTTAGCCCCAGACCCCAGTCCAAGGTCGTTGAGACTTTGTTGGTGTCAGCTAATAGATGCATTTTAAGATTGGGGATCAGTAGTTGTTTGGAGTTTCCAGGTTGCTCTTTTTGGGCCAGAGGACGATAGGCTGGAGTTTGAGTAGGTCCCTCGGAGCCACCCCATGCTCTTAAGCATGGTCCCGTTCGTTCTGGCTTAACGCATAATCAATATAAGACCCTGACCCTGAATATAAGAAGCGATCCCTATAATCGTTTACTCTAAATTGCATTTAGGCTTCAGCGGGTGGTGAGATTGCGAATGAGGTCGTTGTGGGTTTGTGGGTGTCGCGTAGGGGATGCATTTTGTGATTCTGGATCAATAGCGCTGTTGTGGGTCCAAGGGACGATAGACTCGGGTTGGAGTAGGCCCCTCGGACCTACCCCATTCTCTTAAGCTTTAATCCCGATCGGTACAGCTTGGGTTTGGGCTTCAAGGGGGGTGAGATTTCGGACTAGGTCGTTGTGGGTTTGTGGGTTTCGCGTGTTGGATGTATTTTACGACTGGGGATCAATAGCCGTTTCGGGTCTGCAGGTTGCTGTTGTGGGGCCAGGGGACCGTAGGTTAGGGTTGGAAGAAGCCTCGACGATCGACCCCATTTTTTTCAGCCTCAATCCCGATCGATCCTCAGATTGGGTTTAGGCTTCAGTGCGGGGTGAGATTTCAGATAAGGTCGTTGCGGGTTTGTCGGTGTCGGCTAATGGATGCATTTTAAGATTGGGGATCATCACTTGCTTGGGGTTTCCAGGTTGCTTTTTTTGGGCCAGGGGACGATAGGCCGGAGTTGGAGTAGGCCCCCAGGATCCATCCCATGTTCTTAAGCTTTCATCCCGTTCGTTCTGTCATACGCAGAAATCATATAAGACCCTGACTCTTAATACAAGAAGCGATCCCTAGAATCCTCTGCCCTGGATTGTATTCAGGCTTCAGTGAGTGGTGAGATTTCGGATCATGTTGTTGAGTGATTGTGGTTGTCTCGTATTGGATGCATTTTGCGATTCGAGATTAATAGCGCTGGTGTGGTTCCCGGGCACGAGAGGCTAGGGTTGGAGTAGGCCCCTAGGATCCACCCCAGTCTCTTAAGCCCTAATCACGATCGATGTAGATTGGGTTGAGGTTTCAGTGGGGGGTGGTTTTTTCTGAATAGGTTGTCAGGGTTTGTGGGTGTCGCGTGTTAGATGCATGTTATGATTGGGGATCAATAGCCGTTCGATGTTGCTGGCACTAGGAGGCACCCCGTATGGGTACTGTAAGGAGCTTGAGTACTTACACGACTCTAGGAGTTCAGGGTCGAACTCTTCGAGCTTGCAGGTATCTTCAAGAGGATGCAGGGGTTTCGGGGCGCAGTAACGCCTGTGCCAGCCGCGGTAAGTCAGGCTTCTGTTCTGCAATCTTTTTATTGTCGCCTGCCTCTCTGCAACTGTTTGTCAGTGCTCTAGTAGCCATCGCGCATCCTGCGTCTGTAGCCATGGCCACGCTCGGCATCACTTTGCATCAGATTATCTCGTCGCGCACTGCGGCCCGTGCTGCGGTACAGGCACTGATTACCCCTGCACAGTTTGCGACCGTGCTGAAGATAGTGCCGGTATCCGGAGGCAGCCGCTTGCATGTGACTTGGTCGAAGGTGCAGTAGGCAGGCAAGTCAGTTTTCGTTCTTTGGTGTAGCGTCTCGGGGTGTAATCTGCATGCTGTGTGGTAAGGTTGTGCTTCGGGACGTACATCATTTGGACGGCATAGTCATGGCTCTGGGCGCATTGGGTACTGTGTCTCAGTTTGACAATGTCGAGCATCTGAATCGCGAGGCTTGGAGCCGCATGAAGAGCGGAGAGTTCGAGGGGCACAAGATGTCAGTTCTCCGCTGCCTACTGCTGAGGTGGCCGATACGGCTTTGCGCACCGCGAAGGAGCGGCAGCGCGCTGGTTTGGTCACAGCTTCAGCAGCCGTCGACGTCACGCAACAGCTTCTTCTTCTGCGTGGAGGCGGAGGACCTGCTCGTAAGCGTTGCTCGATAGCAGTGGTCCTCTTTTGTGGGTGCTTGTCACGTCGCGGTTGCGCGGGAACAAGATTCGGTTTTGTAGCTCGAAGCAAGGGCGCAAATTCGCCGATGACAGCTTGGCTTTCATCAATTGTGCTCAGACGTGGCAAGCGGATGGGTTGCGACGTCAGGCGCCCCTATGCTTGTGCTTAGGATGGCCAGCGCACACCACCTTGAATCTTACGCCCCGGAGCCTAACGTAGAAACTCTAGTTCGACGCCAGGGCGTGCGCGACCCGGATCATGCAGCCGGGTCTGGGTCGGACGACAACGAAGATTGAACTGCCGCTATGTTTCTGGTTCGACTTTCGGAATCGGAGCAGAGGTAGCTGGCGACTTTGTTGCTACAGAGTTTTCAGCAACACAGTCGCCACTGTACAGCGGTTGCTGTGCCCCGTTCCACAGAGCCAGTAACAAGCGCTGATACTATGTCTGCGTTATAGGGCCAAGCAATAAACGACGGGCTAGTCCCTTGTTCAGTCAAGATCCTCTTTATCAGTGACTGCGTCCCCTCGACGTACCAAAGACAAGAACCCTGTGTAGCCTCGCATGACCTGGAGACTCGTATCGAAGAAACCGGTAACTAATATAAAGTGGTAGGCACGACAAGAGACCTTGGGATTGCTCTTTTAGCTTCGAATCAGGCAGCTAGCATGCCATGCCTGCTAGATCAGACTCGGCAACACGTCCCCCGGTCGTATTGGCGCTGTCTTGCTGTCTCTTTGAGGAGGCACGGCAAATCATGAAGACGCCGTCCAGGTTCCCAAACGAGCTGCAGCGCAGATGTTATTCTATTGAAGGCTGTAAAAGTGCCGGGACCTAGTTGCAGTCTTGAGCCTCAGAACCCAAGACAGTGACAGTGGTTGCTATATAGCTAGGTAGCTATGTTCCAGCTCCATCCTTTAAGACCGTCCGTGGCTAGTGTACAGGAAAGAGTATATTGCCGGCCCGGGTTCTCGCCAGAAAAAAGTGACGGACGAGTGTACATTCACACGGGTTCAAGCTCACGTGCGGACCATGCAGACAGAGGAAAGCTTGCTCGGGATCATGTGCGGCCACATTGTTTGAAAGTGTTTCAAGAAATGCCATCCCGTTTGCAAGGCGAGGTGCAGGACACACGCCGCTTCAGCAGAGGTTTATTCAGGTCCCGGAGTAAGAGGATGCGCTGAGGTTCCTGGTCCAGCAAATCGTGTCTGTGCCACCGTGGAAGGCACTGTGTTTCATATTGAACCTCCGAGACTGTTCGTGGGTACTCCAGTGCGAGCAAATTTACAGGCTCGCAAGACTGCAGGTCCACGCAGGATTTATCCGGAGTCGGAGGCAGTGCTGATGCAAGCAGTTTCAAGAGATGCCATCCAGCTTCGCAGCGAGCTGCATCACACGTGCCTCCAGATACTGTACAGAACAGGTTCCAGCAGGCACTCTATACGAGACCCGGGTTTCTTCAACGACAATGAATACTCAAGCGTGCATATCTACGGATGCTCCCTTCGGAGAGAGTGTTTGTTTACTCAAGGCCATCCGCGGGTAGTGGTTTCAAGAGGTTGCAAAAGATGCCGGCTAGTTTCCAATGCGAGTTGCAGAACACATGTTCGAGGGTGCAGTATTGAGTATCGCAGCTTGATGAATCTGGCCTTTTCAACAGAGGATGCTGTACAGATAGCTGAGCATCATGTTTCAAATTCAGGTATCGGGAGCGTCCGTTAGAGAGCCGGACCCTCTGAAAACAAAAATAGGTCATAAAGGCTGATTAATTCGCAACAGTGCAACTTCAGATTAGGTCCATTCACAGTACATGCTTGCAGAAGCTGCACCTCGCCTGACAGCCGATTGTCTACCTCTAACCCCGCCTGAAACTCCCAGAGCCATATGCGCCGGAAGCAGATGTCTGAAGCCGTCGCCGCTCACATTCCCCCAAGCTCCTAGATCCTGCCAAAGCACAGGAGACTCTAGCTCAAAATTGCTCCAAGCCTACGCTTCCGTGCCTTACGCACCGCTCCTGCGCTCTAACCCTTTAAGGACGCTCTTCTTGCAGCCGCAACGGGTCACACGTGCTCTGAAACAAAAGCAGTCACGGGGGTCAGTAGTTCAGGATTCAGCGTCTAGAGATTCCAGGGTGTAATGTTTCGGGTTTACGTAAGGCAGTGTAAGGATTCAGAGGTACCGTTTCAAGTGCGAGGAGATTCAGGCAGGTTTAGATTTTTCTTCAGAGTTCCCAGTCTTCGGGCTTGTGGGTTGGTTTGAGGACGCCCGATTTAGGAGCTCAAGAATTCATGGGATTGCGTGTAGGTCTCGTCGAGCAATATTGGAGAAGCGAGCGTATCCTGAGACACGTGGTTTGGAGTCGCTTGCTTTTTCTCGGGTCTGTGGTTGTGGTCAGAGACAAGCAAGCAACTAAACCAAGATGATTAGAAAGGGCAGCAGACACAAAGGGATGCTAGCAGCTGAGGAAGATGAATCTCAAAACTGGTAAACCAGTAAAAGTTTTTGGCCTACAGCGCTGGACCCTCCACTCCGAAGCTTGAAACGCCTTGCCACCACAAAGTCTAAACACCCTGAATTCGGAAACCCTAAGACTCTTTACCCTCCAACCCTATTATCCGCACTCGCGAGGCTTCCTCCACGAAGAAGTTGAGGTGGAGGCCATCAAGGCTCCAGAACATGAATGGGGTGCCGAGACCGGTTTGCGTGGTTGGGGGTTAGAAGAACTTAGGGGGCTCCCAGTTTAAAGCTTTGAGCTTGCGGTTTTGGGTATTAGTATAGGGTGAAGAGTTTCGTTCTGAGCACGGGTTTCTTGGGCTAAGGGTCTCAGCTCTAGGGGTGCATAGGTTTAGATGTTTGGAGGTAGAATTAGTTCCAGACAGACGCCGCAGCAACTTAGACTAGTTTCATATCCTTCCTCAGCTATGCAATAACGAAAGCCTACTCAGTGGAAGAAGGCTTCGGAGCTGAATATAGTGCACCAAAACACTGAGAAGTTTCATTATCCAAGCTTCTACTGTACTCGATCCTTGGAAGTGTCGTTGATCACGCTGCGTGCACGGCAGCGCACGTTTCTTCAGTACCAAGAGCCCCAGACCTTCATGTTCACAAGGACTAGTCTCGGGAATCTATACGAAGCCGTATCTTTGTTTCCTTGACCTGATAGAACACGCTACTGACACTACACAGTCTCCTGCAGCTACGACACCAGCAGGATGTTGGTATACTGGACACTTTATCAAGTTGGACTGGGAAACTGTGTAGTTCTCCGGATGCAACGGATGGCATGTGATCTCGGCTGTGCTGGCGCTTGTCAAGAGATTGAACGTGGTACCACCGTGGCGGCCATGTCACGTACTTTGTGCCCGCTCCCTGTCGCTTATCGTGATATCCATGCTAGCTCTACGAGAATCAACTTAGCACCATCCTCCGCCGCATTATTCGGTCCCACGGCGCGTGCCAGCCTCTACAACACAATGCAATGTGAGACCTCAGGGTGTAAAATCGCGGAATCCTCAGTGTTCGGACCTACAAGTCAGGGACCTCAATTCCATACAGCTCGTCACGTGTTGGAGAAGCGTAGCAATCATGAATTTTGTTCCTTTCGAGTTACTTCTTGTACGTCGCGTATAGAAAAAAGCACCCAGAATCATATTCTAAGTACTCCGGGCTGTTGCAGATTTACAACTCGTGTCGATGTCTGGTGATCAGCTTTTCCAGACTGCAGGCTCCCGCAGGCAGAGCTCAGAGACAGTGCCATGGTCCAGGCGCAGACACAGTGGCCACATGTTCTTTTCGTCAGCGGTGGTTCAGGATGTCGACAGTTCGTGGTGTTTGAATTAACAACAGGATCAACAGCCTTGGTACTGCAACAGCAGGAACGAGCGGCGACCGTTGGGACACGTTGCTTTCATCAGGAATCAAAGTGATAATTGTGCTGCGTGCTGTAACAGACCCGGTTAACGAGAACCCGTATCGGTAAAGCACGTGAGCAGAAACTCGTGATGGAGACGGACACACACGGATGCGTGTGTAGAGAATGTAGATCAAGGTTGAGTCAGGTCTGTATGCCGTTGTTCTGCGTGTCAAGAGAACGAATGCATGTTTCCTATATAGCCTCCTCCTTACCACGAATACTGGCGTGAGTCATTCAACATGGTTCACAGGTTTCCAAGAAAGGCACTGCCGGATTCATACCGCGTTGATGTGGTTGTTCCGGGAAGATGCCGCGTTGCGGTGATAGAAGACAACTGCCTGCCATTCTTGTGAATGTCGTGCGCAGTGCAGTTGCTCGAGTCTGAATCGGAACGCTGTCCCCGGTGAGTAGTTCTGTAAGACTGTTCCTGCCGCCATGCCCCGTTTCGTAGCTTCCCAGCCGGCGCGCGGAGTACGCGCTGCTCCTGCAACGGCTGTGTCGGTGCCTGACATCATCCGTCCAGTCACTGCGTTGCGTGACCTGAAGGTGACACTCGAACCCGTGAGTGTTCGTGGCCGGGTCTGCTTTTTGGGTGGTGCTGCTAACGCGTATCCCTGTCGCCGGCTTCGCCTGACAGATGGCAATTGCACTGTGTCCGTGAAATCCGGGGCTCGCGATGTGTGGACCAATGTGCAGCTGGACTCTTACGTGGAGCTGCGAAATGTCACAGTGCACCCGGCTTGGCGAGGCGTGCCAGGCCAGCTCGAGCTCCACTACCACGCCGACAGGGACGCCACAGACGGGAAACGCCGACGCTTGCTGCACAGGCAGGGACATGCTCATGTTCGTGGGTCGTGTTAGCGTATCACCCGCATGCAGATCTTTGAGTGCGTTAACAGCCCAGGTCCTCCGCTATCTTGCTGGATACTCCGTGCAGCATTCCCGAGACGGAGTTCCAGATGTCTCGCGCAAGTGAGCTGGTTGTGGACGAGGCAGCCACGGTCGAGCTCAACATGCAGGCGACAGTTGTCGAAGTGGGTGAGCTGGATGCATCGACGGAGGGACGTCCGCGCCGACGCATCATCGTCTCCGAAGACGATGGCTCGCGCGCCTGCCTCAGGACGCGTGCAATGGAGAATACTTCTTGCACCCGCCCCCTTTCACTCTTTCTAGGCATGTTACTGCACACTGAGAGAAGGAAGCAGAGACACGGTAAGAGTGCGCAACATCAGATTATGAAACGACCCTGAGCCTGCATGTAGACACGTCTAACATGGCAGCGGCATATGCACTGAACGCTTCTCACTTCGGATAACTTTTTCAGACCCCAAACAGACGTAATAAGTCACTCGATGCAAGACAGAGAGGAAGGGGAGGAGTGCCTGCGGTTGGCATCGGGCAGGCAGGCATGGGATGAGGCGCTGGATCGGGTTTGTTTTGCCAAACGCTCCAAGCAACTCGCAGGTTTAATCTCAGATTTTGAACCTTACGGCCGAATCTCTGTACGCCGAGGTTTGACGATCACGCTGTGGGACTCGTGGGCAACCTTGGCTTTGGCTCCGGGAGCTATGTTGACGTGCTTGGGGTTGAGCGCAAGAAACTGGCGGCAGCAAATCCAGTTCCACCTATGGGCAGATGGATATGCCCAAGTCGCGCCCCAGCAGCATGTTCGAGCAGCAGGAGAGCCGGATCATGCGGAAGCGGGTGGTGTCGGAGCAACAGCACCGGAAGATGCTCACGCGGAAGCGGATGGTATCGAAGCAACAGCACCGGAAGTTGCGGAAGCAACCGGAGCAACAGAAGAGGATGATGCTGAAGCACCGGAGCCCGTTTTCTGAGCGCAGCACTGTGTGATTGAGTTGTCGCAGATGCAGTGTCTGTGGGCGAAGCCTTCTGCGACTCTACTGTTTCAAGATGTTTCAAGTGCGACTTTGCCTGGCTGCTGGGTTCTGAATCCAGCAGCGGGCATGCTGTGCCCATGAGATCAGTCTTGACAAGAAGTGTTTTGCTTTAGTGACGCTTCAAGAAGGCATGGCATGTCTGAGCGAATCCATTTAGTTGCCCAGGCAGCGCAACCTACGGAAGCATGTGTTGTCTTGTGCAGTGTGCATCCATGTCTAGCGTCAGGGGTTGTAGGGCTCAGCAATAAAGAGGCAGTACTCCCTGTGTCCTTTTGCTGTAGACTTTGCTCGAACTCCTTTTTAGAACTGAATATGACTCTTCTTTATGCCAATGACAAGTAGACAAGTGGCCTGTGTATCTCTCATGAAACAGATGCTTGTACACAAACTACCGACTACCAGAAAGTACTAAGGGTGACAAAAGAACCTAAACACAGTACCCTTGAACTTAGAGCGTAAGCTCTACGGCGAACTGCAGCATGCTTATTGCTCTAACGAAGGTGTGGAACCGAGGTGAAATGTCTTTCATCCTAGTCCTCACATCGTGTCTCTGCGACAGTGGATGCTGTACAGAGTACTAGCTAGCATGTTTCACGTTCAGACTGCCACTGCGTCCGTGGGTGTTGTACAGAAAAGAGTACAGAAACCATATCCGAGACCTGAACCCTGTTAGACAAAGATGCGAGTACAATTCTGGATTGCTAGGGTGCAGGTCGGCGTATGTTCTGCGCAGACAGAGTTGCAAGCTTGTTTGAAGCCATCTGCGGCCAGTTCAAGCGTGTCAGACTACCTGCATCACGCATGTCGCTCTAGCTTGGTCTGTTACCATTCCGAATCTAAGCTGAAGTACTACTCATCGTACTGCTCGAATCGTCTCTGTGCGACAGTGCATGCTGTAGAGATAGCTAGTCACCTTCGTGCAAGTTGAACTTGCACAAGCAGCCGTAGGTACTCTACAGAAAAGAGTATAGAGTGGACTGTATGCGAGACCTGGGCTCCGTCTACAAAAAAAAGCGACCTAAGCTTTAGATCGCCACGGGTCTAGGGCCGCGTATGGTCCGCTCAGACGGAATTTCTCAAGATGCCGACAAGTTTCCGAGACAGGCTCTATCGCATCTGATCTCTATCGCTTGAAGACCGGATCAGGCAGGAAGCACTCATCATCTGGTTCAGCTGGTTTGGGTTGTGAGGGAGAGCACGGCGACGAATTGAGCGGTTGAGAAGATTGCCCGGGAGGGTGGCGGTGGTTAGGCTTTTATAGCAGGGTAGGCTGGATTAGAGGTCGGTAGGGAGGTGACAGAAAGCGTTCCTGTTTCGGAGCCACAGAAGCTAGCAGCACGGCCAGCTCGGATCTGCCTGGTGGTACACTAGGCAGTGACGAGTTTGGTACAGTTGTAGCAGGATCAGACGGCTGTGTTCTGTAGCAGCACGGCCAGCTCGGATCTGCCTGGTGGTACACTAGGCAGTCACGAGTCTGGTACAGTTGTAGCAGGATCAGACGGCTGTGTTCTGTAGCAGCACGGCCGGCTCGGATCTGCCTGGTGGTACACTAGGCAGTGACGAGTCTGGTACAGTTGTAGCAGGATCAGACGGCTGTGTTCTGTAGCAGCACGGCCAGCTCGGATCTGCCTGGTGGTACAAGACCCTAGTTTTAGAATACAAGGTAGCCAAGAAGACCAACTTCAGGAGGCTAAAGGCAAGCTTGGCTCCTTAAACCTGCGGGTTTTCGGGAACCCCTTCAAATCCTTAATAGCTGACTGGATTCACTTTACATTTTCTCGGTAAGATTACCCATTATAAAGCTGAAAGCGTACACTTTTTTGGGGCTTATGAACTCAGCAACCAAGAATTACAAGGGTACAGGATCCTCAGTCCTACAATTGACGGAGTTCCTAGGGGCTGAGGAGGTAGCCTTTAACCTTGTGGCGCTTATATAAGCCTACCTTGGGGGTACTTCGAAATATTTTTTAGATCGTTCTAAAACCCTAACCCCGCATCCAAGGCCGGAAGCTCCACCCCGCGGCCAGAACGCAAACCCCTAAACCCCTTAACCTAAACCCGCACCCCGTTAGAAGGGACACCTTTTCGGTATCTTTTATTGGGTTCTCTACGAGGAGCCCGAAGCCGCGTAGCAATCATAACCCTTCTAGTAAGACTTAGCCGTGTAGTATCCCTTACAGAACTTACAGAACCCTGAAGCAACCCGAATCCCTACCCCCAACCTGAAACCCGCCCCCCCGTCAACCCTGATGGAAACCATATACTACCTCTCTTGCCGAACTTCTTGAATCCTGAAACCCTAACCCCTAATCCCACAATTCGAAACTCTAAAGTCCTAAATCTGCCACTCCCACACTCTGAACCCTAATCCCCGCAACCCGAAACCCAGCTATAGGGAACCCCTAAACCCCCTATACTCAAAGAGGTAGCCCCTAAGACCGACCCAAGCCCACCAGAGCTGGTGCAGGTGCCGGTCCGCTGCGCATTTTTCGCTCGACGCCAGCTCTCCGGCGTTTGCAAGGACAGACGTGTAAAGTTCAGGGCCTAGGGTTGATAAAGGCTTAGGCGTGAAGAGCTTAGGGTGTAGGGGTTTAGGGAAAATTTGTGTTTTGTGAGGTTTTTTAGTGTTTCTGTGGCGTTTTGTTAGGAATTTTCCGTCGTTTTAGGCCTAGGGTTGTTATCAGGGGGTTTTTGAGAGTGCTGCAGTCTCTTGGAAGGGTTTTGCCTGGCTTCGAGGTTTTGCAAGGCTTCGAATGCTGCTAGGACCATGCGGATTTCGAGCTATCGCGACAGAAAGTTTTCCAAAGGTCTTCTAGTTAGCAATCGCCTTTGTACAGGGAAGAAAAAACTGGGCTTTTATGTGGCAATAGTTACAGTTGTATTGCTAGTCTGATATAGGGTAGGTGGGTTTCTCAGGTTTTTTGGAGTTGTTGGAGGGGTCTTGTAGTTAAAATGTCGAATACTGGTTTACTGTAATGACTATTTTGAAATTACGTGCCAAAGTAGGAGACACGTGGATTTAAGGTATCGGGGCAAGATCTCGAGCATTCTAGATGCCCAACATGACCCGGACAGAACGCTGTCAGACGACCTGAAACAAGCCACACCGACTGCAAAGATAAGCTGGGGATCTGCAAAGCTTATGTAGTACCCTAAACGGCAGGATCCGGATGATAAGGACACCGAAATAAGGTAGCCCTAAATTTCGAAAACTTCGGCTTCTGCAGGACTGCAGGTCATCCTTTACGTGGCTGCTCCGCCTCTGTGCTTCGGGCCGGTGGCAGATAAGGTTTCGGGTTTAGTTTGAGGCTTAGGGTGAATTTTGGGAGAGCCAGGGTAAGGTTGCAAGCACCTTACAGTAGTGCTTAAAGGATTATGGGACTTAGCAAGGAAGGTTGTAAGTACTTCAATTGGGGTTATAAGTAGGGTTAGCGTAGTTATAATCCTAGTTACTAAGTCCATGATCCTTTAAGTGGAGTTACATGTCAGTTTGATCATCTCTTGTATTTGTCCGTGGCCCGACTTATTTAAGTTCCGCCCCAAATCCACCAAGCGCTCTTAATTCCGAAGCCTTATGTTGAAGGAGCGAGAGCTGCAGGGGATGTTGTAGAGCTGTGAGCTGTAGAATCGACAGCTTTTCCTCTGAGGCGGATTTGGAGCAGCAGAACATTGGGTTGAGGGTTCCGAGGTTCAGGCTTGCGGCCTAAACCCCAAATCCCGATACCGCAAACCGAGTTTGATGAGGATTTCTTGGCCCTGCCTGCGGCGACGTCCGCATCGTTGCCAAGTTTCCCGAAGGTTTGAAATCAAGCCGAGCTAGTGAAGTTCGAGTGCTGCGGATTCGCTGAAAGCTTCTAGTGTGGCCCAGAGAGCCCAATATCTCGAACATAAGGAAGACCTGTTAAGTCAAAGCAACAAATCCATGCTATCTGAGGTGATCGAGGATTGCCAGAAGAATGGCAGGCTGGATTCTTGCAAGATAGTGCGACGCTCAGCAGGGTGTGCAGAACGTTTTGCCGAAGCGTGTCTGGCTGCTTCTGCCGACTAAATGTATAGAGCCGGATTTCGTGGCAGTTGCTGCAGGTGCGAAAGTCGGGGCTGCACATGTGTCGTGAGACGAGAGTCAGTCATGCTGGTAATTGTGCTCGAGGCGCGAGAACACTGCGTGCACATTTTGGCTCTAGGTCAATGCCGCTAGCTGCTAGG